TATCCGTGCCCATTATCCTTTCACTCCTAGGTATGAATGCCATGCATGGTTGTCTCAATCTTTCTTGAAGCTGCGAAGCTTTCCTATCAATTTGCTTTTTCGTGTCCAACCTTCCTGAGTGGTACCCAGACACCAACTGCTTGATCCCATTTCAGTTGGTTCTCAAATATTCGTGACTACCGCTCTCCTTATCTTTGGTAACCCCATTAAGCAAAACTCGATCATCCTGTGTTCAACTATTGTTTCCACCATACCTACCTTCCAATCATTCACCTACGCGTTCTCACGCGCCCCTTTCATTCGTGGTGTTGCCACCCCATGCTACATTCTTCGAATTCATATCTCCAACCAGAATCTTCCTTCATTCCCATTCATCAAAGATTCCTCGAATTACATCCAGTCTCGCGTTTCTCTTTCTACCCGGCTAGTCATACACATTCATAATTCTTCTATTATTTCTTTCTTTTACTACAATTATACCAATCTGATTCATACTTCTGGCATTCCTAAGGGCGAGGTTGTCGACGGTGGATCGGACCCAGGTTCGTACCCCTCTCCACCATCATGTTTAACCCAATCCTCCCAAGCTGGTTTCCTAGCCGACGGTTCCTGTAGATACACTACTGCGGCGTCTCGGTCTTCAGTGATTCTCCGCAGCAGTGTGGTGGATTCCTTCTCTTTTCCCACATTAAATTGAAAAACCTTGAATGCAATTGGTTCTCCTTCTTAGCACCTCCACCCTTCTCTCGAATCACTCGTAGCCACTTCGACTCGTTTGCAGTTCACGCAGCCGAGTCCCCAATCGCCTCGACATTCACGCCCCTCATGCTGTCTCGCACACTTGTTAAGTGCCGGTTCTTGCCTAGATGTTTTGTAGGTGTGCCCAAAGTGGTAGCCCTTGTAGCACACTGCCACACTGTTATGCTCCTCCACATACACATTCACTAGGTCCAGGCCAACCACTCCCATGTTCATCATTCTCTGGAAAAGCTTCGCATTGAATTCCATGATCACATTCTCTTTCGATTCATTCCTATAATTTCTCCTCTTTCTCACGACAATACCCTTTATGTCTCTCTGTATCTCCCAATTCTGGATTCTGATCCAACAAAATATTGATTAGTTCCTCATCCCCATATACTTTCTCCACTCGCGCGAGAAGGACATGAGGATTCGGTTTCTGATCAGCTTTGATACTGACCCTACTCTCATCATGGAGTACTTCCATTATTCTCTGTCTGCCTTCCTCCAACTTGCCTTTTAGCACCACGACCTCCGCTTGATTGCGAGTCACTGCCTCCAAGTATGACAATCACCCCTTTCTGCGGAGCCTTTCGCTAACTATCCTTACAGTTGGTATGTTGTCCTCCTTATTTGTCTTCATTATAACAATTTCCCCTTCTAAGGGAGGTGGAATTTTCCACCCCGTCCTTATCTGCTATGGTCTCTCCAGTTCGGTTGAATGTTTTCTTTCATCTGTTTTTCTTTTTCTTTTACCTCCTGGTATCCAGCGTCTGATTCAGCATCTGCAGCCTCTTTTTCAGCATCCGTTTCCATTTCGGTCGTCGTCATAAGCTCCGATACCTCCGTATCCGTTTCTGCCCTTCTTTGCATGACGTTTTCTAGGTTCATTTTGCTACTTGCGTCCTTTCTCTTTTGTCCTTGCTTGTTGCTTTCTCCTTTTCATTTGCCTATCGATATTCATCATCATAATTTTCATAATCTGCCACTCTTCTCCCATACCGTTCATCCACCCTACCAAACCTTCAAATCTCACAGTCAAAGCTGCCATTTCCTTCACTTTCTGTTCTAACTTTCCTAACTTCCCACTCATTCTCATAATTTGCTGTAAGCTGCCGCTCACAGCGTTTTACACCTCCCTATTGAATCGTATTTTTCCTCCGCAACCAAATACTTCTTCAATTAATGATTAAATGCACACAATAAAAAGGGCCCGGACTCCATTCAATGTGTCTGTCACGTATTGATATAAAAATATGTTTCATATATCTGAATATACCTTTGTTTCTATGTCGTTTATCACTTTACTAATTCACTTATACCGCACAAAAAACAATTCCAGCAGCTCCCAAAACACGTCCGTCCTCGACGAATGCTGATAACGAAGTCGTGCCTGATATTGTGGAATTGTAATATAACTCCTGTCTGTGTGAACCCAGTTCTCCGAGTGAAAAAAAAACAGACACGCTTAAATCATTCAGAGCAGGATATCCTGACATTAATCTAGGTAAGCAGAAAGTAATGGCCATTAAAACATGATTTTCCCAAATGCTTCAATAGTTTTTTAATATTTTAGAAGGTACATCAAAAGTTGTTTCAAAATTGTTGCTCTCTTCAAATGGCTACTTGAGAAGGATATGACTACACTATTTTTGTGATCTGAAGATCAGGAAGTGGCTTTCAAAGACAGTAGTGGTCCTTACATCCAGACCAATCCAAACCAATAAGGTCTGATCTGAGCTTTAGAAAGCCTCAAAATTTGCTGGTGATTGTATATTTTTCTGGTTCGGAACATTGTTCCAAGCTTTTGAGAAGCAGCCTTCACAATTTCAGCGACATGAGCGGCCAAGATATTTTGATGTCCATTTCAACCCCCAACAAACGCGAAGGAGAAAGCGGTATTGTCTGTCCTGGTAGCAATATGCTGTGCCTGTGCCATTTTGGGACGTCAGAAACGTGTCCCTGTGCCTTGTTGGGCCATGGGGAACGTCACCCTGTACCATGTTGGGCCTTCGGATAGGTATCTGTGCCATGTTGGGCCGTCGGGTACGTGTCTCTGTGCCGTGTTGGACAGTCGGGTACGTGTCTCTGTGCCATGTTTGGGCCGTCGGGAACGTCTCCCTGTGCCATGAGATGGTGAAAGGACTTTTAGTCCCGAAGCTATAGTACTCACTAGAAGAAATGGAATCCCTCGAAAAAAAAAAGCGGAGTTCTGGTTCCTACGAACAAACGATGTAATTAATCGGAACATTTTTTTTATGTTTTCAGTTAAAATATACCAGCCATCATCTGATCAGGAATGGCTGAGTGTGAACTGGCATCATTGTCGACGGCAACGATGGAGGCAAATGATGGCTGTGTATATACTCATTTATATGTATATAATCATATTTTTTAAAAGAGCTTTCAACAGAAAAATTAAACATACAATAAAATATAGGGTAATGAACAAATTATATTTTTTTTAGTTTCCATAACTAAACAAACGCCCATTTCGCCAACCAAGAGCAATTTCAGCTAAGTTAACCTAACTTGTTCAGGCTAAAAGTATTTTTGTTCTGATGTGGAAAAAGTATATTCAACAGAATCATTTTACGGCAGAGGTTCCAATAATATCTATAAATCTTGATGTGTTTTTGAAAACACACTACACTTACGGGTACTGCAAATTCTGAATACCAAGGACTTCTCCCGTCAAGAGAAGTCGAGACAAGAAAATGGTATTCTTGTCAAAACGAGAGGATAATTTTCTCTCGACTTAGTCGAGACAAGATGGGAGAAGGCATTTTCTTGTCTTGTCTCAACAAGAGGCAACAAACACTAGCACATACACACCTTAATGCTCAGATGAATTCCGTTTTGAATTATCTCATGCGCAGATCTATCAGATTCACTGACAGCAACAATACATTCCAAGAAATTAGACAAATTTAAATCCACATTTTGCCCTAACGAATAACTCAATCCATACCCTACATTCAAAACTGCTGGTTGACCAAACTGACCATCCAAAATCTTTTCTACAAAGTTAAATCTCCACATTATTATGAATACCCAAAGAGACAATATACATTCAGGGCATATATGATACTGTTGTCCGCCACTAACTCCAAATATAAAAGCTTGTTGGAGAAACTTGGAATCGAACTTAGGTCAAAAACCATTCACAACACAGATGAGAACTGCCGCATATCTATGTACCATAAACAAGTATTGACTGCAAAATCCACCAAATAGCAAATGATTTGCTTCTGGCATCACCTTAGGTCCTTAGATTAGTGTTTAACTGACCTAACCAGTTTGATTCCACAAGCAGTTTATGTCTGAACTCATCAAACTATAAGTGTTCATTGCTTTGAAGGTCATCCCAGTACATTTCAAACCACGCTTTTTGTTTTGGTTACTATTTTATTTGTAGAAAAACGTCTTTGTTCGATAAATATTCCGAGAACGTTTCCACAAATGAACATATTTTGGCAACTCAAAATTTTTGAGATCAGCATATTATAATAGATTTGTGTATGCTTTCTAAGTCTGAAAACAGCTAAGTATTACATCCATACTCTGTTATAATCATAATCCATCCTGTTAAGATTTTTTTCTAATTTCTACTTTTACTGAAAGTGTGAGATCACCGTTGGTAAAATGGGTGTCGAGAAAAGTTTTGAAGTTCTTGTACGGAAATTGTTAAATCTCCGTTTTGAGGGACAACAATGATACATCCCTCAAGAAACCACTCCGGAACCTGCTACTCTCCCAGCATCCAGATGGCGTTGGATGCTAGAGAATTTTTTTCCATTAACGAGTATTCAGCCCATCTGGACCTGCCGCAGTAAAGTTCTTGAAACCCACAAGGACACTTCAAACCATATCTAGGCTCTCTGCAGAAAGAAGTGTGTATGTTGATGGTGGAAGTTCATAAATGTATTTCCAGAACGATTCCAGCATATAACAACGGTGGTGGATAATTATCAGTAATCTATCTTGCTCCCTCAATGGTAGAAAAACGCAAAATAATTTTTAGCTACAAAAAAGCATTTTCCATTTCTTCAAACAAAATTATGTGGTTTACTGAATTATTTCACAATTCAACTGTACGCTTTTTCAAAAACTACACCTTACGATCTCATCTTCACAAACTTTATTTTGAAAAATATATCACGTTTTGCTAGCACAGTAGCTTTTTCAAGTGATTCATGATCAAATCGTGAGGTGTAGTTTTTGAAATTACAATGGATCTTCATCAAGTAACGGCCGAATCAATCAGAAAATTAGCAGTATGCTTTAATTATTGTCATTTTCAGTTGTGAAAGACAATACATCATTTAGATAACATTCCAATAGTGAGCCCTCGTTCTTTCACTGCTTCCTAATTTTTAACGGAGTACAATATTCGAGACCATTTAAAATATATTATATTTATAAATGATATGTAACAAAAAAAATTGGTAGATTTATGTACAATAGAAAAAAGTAATACCTGGAAATAAAGGTAATTATAATATAACTGATTATCTAAGAAATGATGAAAGATCAAATCGAAATTTAGTATTTATGTTTGTGTCTACGTTTCCTTGGTGGCTCTGGAGAACTATATTTAGATCGGGATGAGAATGGGCTCGCCTGTCGATTTCTGGTAGGTGACTTCTGGCTCTGTTTACTTCTAGGTGGAGACGGAGATAACCGATGTTTTCTAGAAGGTGAAGAATATTTACTAGAGCTGGATGGGGAAAGGGAATCTTTGGTTTTCTTAGCTGATCGCGAAGCAGATGAAACCGGAGAGTGACGTCTAATCCGAGGTGGACTTGGTGGGCTCAAAGCCCTAACACTCTTCTTTCGCGACGGAGAACGGGTTTTTGACCTGCAATTCAATGTAAATATATTATTGGTCAATTATTATTGTTAAGTTATTATTGTTGTATTGAATCAGTTATATGTATAAATTGCCCCGACCAGCCCAGTTTTGAAAAGTTGTATGAAATTGGAATGACAATTTACCGAGATTAACGTCATTTGTATTGGTATTCTTTTGAGCTTTACTTCAATTTCAGAAATTAACTAACAAACATTTCAGAGTTCATCAAATTAACATTAATATCTCAAAGCTAGCTGATCAAGTCAATCAAAGTATATTTATTGATGTATTTAGTTTTTCGAATATTGTTAGGTGTTTAAAGAAAACTAGAGCCCAAGAACAAATCTTTCATAATCCAACACCAAATAGCGCTTCTCAACTCACCATTGGTCTCATAAGTGGTGCTAGGCGAAACCACGAATGCATTTCTGAATTCAACTGACCCTAAAATACAAACCCTTACAGAGACGCCATCTATATGATCAACATAAACTCAATCCAGGAATATTAATGCTGTACGAGGCTCCCACAGCATTTACTGCAAGGCTACTTACTAGTTGAGACAAGAGCCCAAAAATAAAGCATAAGAGATTTAACACTAAACAGCCAACACAGGTTTGTGCTTTGAGGGAATTTGAGTTCAGCAAATGCATTCGTGGCTCAGTTTAGTACGACTGTCTTTCAGTGAAAAATGACGAACAAAACTCGTTCTGTTGTCGATTTCGAAAACTTCACTTTGCAACAGACTGCCTTGATTAACAGCGTTTATGTTTGATAATCACAGATTTAATCTTCTGTCGATCTCATAGATGGCGTTTTTGTGAGGGGCGATGTCATCGCCATTTTCTACTCAGTTTTGTCCTTTAAGGTCTGTTGAGTCCAACGATACATTCGTAGCCCAGTCTAGCACCGCCGACTGGCGGTGCTAGACTGGGTACTCCTTACCTATGGTAAGGAATTCAACCACATTATCGACTTTATAGAATGAAACTGCTACCATTCCTTTTTGAATTTTTTGTTTGATGATATTTTATAGCATTGATAATTTATTGTAGAGATTGAGATTTCCATGTACCATAACCAAATAATAATCCTGTTGTTCGAAGGGAAGAAGAAATAAATTCATTTATTTCACTTATTTACTCAATTAAGCCAGGAAGGAAAACTCTAATTTTCCTATGGTGCCGACCATGGGTCTAAAGGGCTTACCACTAGGTATACTTGATTCTCGGTTCCTGTCTGCAACCAATCCATTCGGAGGGTCGATAACAATGTGAATTTATTATTTATTCTGTCTCCGTCAGTGGAGGTAGCTACCCAGCCTGCTGAAGAAGCAGTGGAAATGGCACTTCTACTACTCATTGGCACGACTGGAGAGCAGACTGGCTGGCATGTCATCATATAGTCATAGTCATAGATCTTTATTTGCTCCAGTTACATATAATGTACATATATAAACTCCGAGGAGTGTGGAACATGTCAGTAGTAAATAACAACTAAATAACAAAATCAAAGTTTTACATTCATAATCAATATTATCTCACGAGTAGTTTTAAGACACAAAAAAAAACAATATATACAAAAATCAGGCATATGTAAATAACATTCATATAGTTAGCATACTATCATTTAAGAATTCCTGCAAGCTATAATAAGGTTTTTCTACGAGATAGCTCTTCAAACGACATTTTATTGTTGAAATTGGAAGATTTCTTAGAGTGAGTGGAAATTTATTGTCAATGTTTATAACGCTATATTTGACATTTCTCTGTATGTATGTATAGTTGCATTTCTCATTTCTAAGATCATTCTTTATTCTGGTGTTTCACGGTTAATGAAAAGTTCTGATTTGTTTTCTGTTACAAATACTACTGCTTCATATATATAGAGATTTATCAAAGTTAAAATTTTGCTCCTAATAAAAGACAGGATTCTTTGAACCGATACATCATTGCTGCACTTTATTAATATTCCCCCATTTGCAGTGTTTTGCAGTTGCCTTATTCCAACTGATAATTCACATGGATTGATGGCCCTTTTCAAGTCTGCCATGGTTTTACCAATATCCTGATTATTTTTTGGTAACATTATAAGATTTTTTCAGACATGTTTATGTGTCGGAGATTGAGACCGGTTTCTGTTTTTCATTTGTCTTCTTGACTTTACCAAAGTAATATTTTCATCTTCCCAAGTGTCCTGTTCTTCAACTTCACCTTGCATTTCATGAGAGTTTTGTTTGTAAACAAGTTCACTACTATCTGTTTGTGTTTGCCAGTTTTTTGTGCCACTGAGGAATTCCAGATTGTCATCTTTATCTTTGTAGTTTTTATTGAGACCTGTTTTTATGTTGCTAAGTTTATCTGATAGCTCCTTCACTTTTTCTTCTAATAATAATTTATTTTGAAAGATAATTGAATATTTTTTGTCTTTCTCCCTTATAATTTGCCTAAGTAAGACATTTTCTTCTTTCCACCATTTCATTGTATCTGCATCACTTTGTTGAGTACTCACTGGATTTTCTTGAACTGATATGTATCCTTTTACGTGTCCACTTACTTCATCTGCACAGCAGACAATTCTGACTTCATCAATGAACTCAATTTTTTTTCTATCAACGCAACTTCTGTGATATGTTTTGCCACATTTGTACAAACTGTGACTTGCACTGGTTTAGTTTTGCAGCATTCAAACGTTTTTGTGGGCTTTTTATTAACGAGTTCTTTATCGACTTTTACATTGTCGGCCATCTTGACATCAAGGACGCTATAGGACGCTCCAGTGAATCAGGCCAGAACTTTATTCGGATGCGGAGGTTCGTGATTTTCTTATAAATGAGACCGACAACGCCGTTCAGTTGCTATGGGAATCAGAAAGACGGAATCCTGACCTTGAGGTTCGAATGAGTGAATGACAGGTAAAAAAGTAGGAAGCTTTGCTTTCTGAATGAAAACAAAATAGTAAGTGATTGCCAGTTTTGTTTCCAAAAGCAAACAAACACTTCCGATGTCATATTTTCATTTCTATACTATGTTTATTCCATCATAGATGACAAAGAAACAGTGGCTGCGGTCTTCCGTGATATAGCCAAAGCATTTGATTGTGTGAATCATAAAATTCTTTAACGGAAACTCAGTAGATACGATATAACTGGAATAAGTCTTAAGTGGTTTGAATCATACTTAGCAGATCGCAACCAGATGGTCAAAACCACTTCATAACTCAAGAAGGCTAAATTAGAATATAATAATAATAGAATAAACAATGCTAATAACATATCAAGGGAAAGTTGGAAGATGATCAATGAAGCAAAAAATAAATCAACAAATCCACTACCATCAAAACTGACAATAAATAATATTCAGGAAAAAAATAAAACTAAGATTTGTAATCACTTCAATGAATTCTTTACGAACGTGGGAGCTATTAAACCAAACTTGGAGAACATGAAATGTAAATTTTTCGATAATACTATATTTTTAGGACCATCCACACACCACAGGAGACTATGAAATCATAAAAAAAAACAACGAAAAAAACCTCTGCAGGTGTAGATGATATATNTGATATTCTGGGGTAACTCTGCTCACGTACATAAAGTATTCATTATACAGAATAAAATTATAAGATGTATGGTCAAAGCTCATTATCAGGCGAGCTGTAGACCAATATTTAAAAGACTGTCCATTCTGACCTTGCCTTGTTTAAAAAAAATCTGTTGAAAATCTGTTTTTTCGTTAACCAGCTGTCGCACCCCTACGAACGACAACCCTCAGGAGTCGAAACTTGTGCGAGCTAAGGCTTAACGAGGCCTTACCTTTTAACGTGTGATTCCTAACACGGGTTGGACGACAGCAAGTGAAGATCGATTGTTCAGACTAGGGATTGAACCACCGACCAACACGGCAGTCAATTCGAGTGAGTGAACAAAGCACCCACGCCGAACCGCTTGGCTACCGACCGTATGTATATATATTTAATAACCAGAAACATCAAAAAAGAAAAACATAGTCATGTGAGAGGAAATACTCTACATGAGTATACCACTCGCAATGCAACCGTTTTCCCGTCTAGGCCTAGCACAAAACTCTTTCACATATCTGGGTATCAAGTGTTATAACCAATGCGTAAAATTAATTGGTGAAATAAAAATTTTTGGAGTTTTCGAAGCAACATTCCATGACTTTTTAATTAATCATGCGTTTTATTCTGTAGATGAGTTTTTAAATTTTCCTATCGATAATTCTGATATGTAAATATATTAACCGTTCATTTATGTTATGTGTTTGTTCATGTTATATGTAATTGACTAGTCTGATAAGTTTAAATACTGTACTGCACTGTGTAAAGCTTCATGGATGAATAAAAATTATCTATCTATCTATCCACTCAAATGAAGGTAAAATTATTTGCGGCGTCCCACAAGGTTCGGTACTGGGCTCACTTTTATTCTTAATTAACATTAATGACCTATCGTCTATTAACATCCAAGGAAAATTTACTTTATTCGCTGATGATACCACAACTTCATAGCATGGTCCTAACAACCATAAGTTGTATGAAGTTATTGAGAATGACATCACGAAAGTGAAAGACTGGTTTTTGACTCAAATCTCTTGTCTAGACTCTGTGTCATCTTCGACTGTTTGGTAACTCATTTTAACTTCCCGTTTTGTTGTACAATCCAGTGAAGCTGAAGAAAGAACACTCCAAGAAAGGGCCCTTTCAGAAGCAGGGATTTGTGCTAGGAATTCGGTGAGTTCGCTTTATGCCACAATTCTTACAGTCCACTCTTGTTTTCATTTTTATTATTTTTTAAGTATTCGAAGACGCGACAACCATAGACCATAAATATCCCATTCTGTAACACCCAACTTTCCACCCACAGGAAAAATGATATAACACCAAGTTTTATCCAAAAAACTTTCTACGAAATAATCTCCAACTACAAGGAATACAATCACTTATACACAGATGCTTCGAAACCTTCAGATTGTGTGGGAGCAGCCGTCATTACAAGAGATACGGAGCTTGCCTATCGTCTGCCGTCAATCTGTAGTGTTTATACGCCATAGATCAAACCTTAGCACACTGTGAAAGTCTGGAAGGCAACTCTGTTATTATCACCGATTCTCTCAGCGCAATTCATGGAATCAGACAGTTATACCCAAACAATTCACTACTTGTCCGTATAAAGGAAAGGTTATCCAAGCTAATGCAGAATCAAAAATATATTAAACTAATCTGGCTACCTTCCCATACTGGAATCAGAGGCAATGAGAAAGCCGATGCAGTCGCTCGCAATGTTACAGTTACTCCTTCCACAACACTGTTTGAACAAATTACCGACTCAGATTACTTTAATTTCATAAAGAAACTAATAGCAAACACTTGGAAAGAAAGATAGATGGCCATGGAATCAAATAAATTACGTGGGATAAATCCCGACATGCGCTTCCAGAACTACCAATCGGCCCAACGAAGACATCATACTTACTCGCCTCAGAATTGGACACACAAGACTAATACACCAACACCTTATGAACAATAATATGCTGTGGAGTGTGATATTGGTGATGTAATCAACAGTGTGAAAACACATTATCCTGGAGTGCCCAGTTTTTGAATATGAAAGACAAGAAGCAAGACTTCCCAGTAATTTCAATTATGCCCTAGGCGTGGTGAACTTGAACTCTTCAGTAACCTTTTTGAAATCTATTCATACAGGGCTATTCAAATTCGTTTCTGTACATGGGGATCTCGTAAACGATAAGAGATAGAGTGTCGGTTAAATTGTGGCAAAGTTGCGTATTTTAGAGACCTATTCAATGATGTATGTTTTTTCCATGAAATATCCTTTGTTCTATCATAGTCAGTATGCAACAAAGAAATCCTTGTTCATCAACTGAATAGTACAGGATGTCTCACGAATTATGTCTTTGTTGTTGTGAAGCTGAAATAGCAAGGTCATTTACAAACTAACGAAATAGAAAAGAGCCAAGAGCTGAACCCTGTGGTACATCTAGTTTCACAACCTAATCATGTTTTATTGCAACTTACTAGCTTCATTCCATCTGTCGTATGATTCTAACCAATTTATTATATTGGCTTCTCAACGCGCGTTTCACCAACCAAGTTGACGTCATTAGAAGATGAAATAAATATATAGTCTAGTTCATTTCCTGAAGATGCCAAACTTTGTTGGTTAAAAGCACATCGCAATGATGTTTTAAAACTTTTACTTACAGTTCTCGATAGTAAGCCTCATCGTCAGAACTTTCTGCTGTAACTCTTCTCTCACTCTTGTCATAATCTCTTTTATGTTTCTCACTTTTTGATTGCTTTTCACTTTTATCTTTTTTCTCTTTTTCTGATTTTCTGAGTAATTTCCGCCTATAATGTTCCACCTGTTGAGGAAGAGTCCAACCACTTTTCAGCTGCCTTTGTCCTGATTCCAATTCGTCCTGATATTGTACTGCCTTCACTTCTATCTCTCGCAACTTCTGTCTTTTTTCTTCTGTAATGTTTCTGAAACAAAATGAAGGCTGAAGTTCCAACTTTCAATAATAAGACTCATTGGTAGACTCATTGAACCACAGCTACCCAGCGCGGATAACCAAAGTGCCAATTTCAACTCAGATTGTTGAAGTTTAAAACTTCCAAACAGTCTTTTTAATTAATTATACAGTTTTTTTTCGAAATATGGTAGATCGGCTTTATCCAATGGCAAACAATGATCCTAGAAAAGTAATTCTATTACGAGTTGGGATTTGAAAAGTCTACTCTTTTTATACAGCTAGAATTTTTGCTAAGTGTTCTAATCCTAAGAGCTACTACTTTCTCTATGTACAACGAACACTGGCCACCATCAACCAGGAATGTTTCCTGAACAAAATAGAAAAATTTCTAAGTGCCAGTTACTACCAGCACTTCCCCGCCAAAAATTGCGTCTACTTTTTGAGGCATTATTAATCAATATTTTTGAAATCTGCTTTCAACAGATTAATAAAGGTTTCAGCACATTAATCTTGTACCACAGCAATAATTAAAGAAATTATATATTTCAGGAGAATGAACTTTTATGGCCATTTAAATTCATCAAAAAATTTCATTTTTTGATGATGATTTATTTCCAAATAGTTTGACTGCATGGTTATAGAAAATGATTCCTTGATAACTCGCAGAGTCCTGTCCCACCGCCAAACGTGAGTAAGGTAGTCTCAATTTGTTACCCCTACGTGTGTTGTAGTTATGGCAAATATTATTTTTTTGTGTAGTGAGATTCATTTTTTCTTATGTTTACAGCTACTACATATATGTACAGGCAGGGAAGAGTAAGTATGGACAGCTGAGTGAATGTGGTCTTACATGATTCTTTATACTGAAGTCCAGCTAGGCATCTTATCACTTTTTTTTTTGGAGTTTAAATGCTTTCATGGCATGAGCTGAGTTTTCACAGAAGGGCAATCCGTAAGATAAAATAGACTGTACAAGTCCATAGTATATTAATTTTAGCACTTTCAACCAGACAGTTTCACATAATTGTTCTATTATAAAACATAATATAATAATTTTTCCAATAGTTTATTGATTGAAAAATTCAAGTATATGATCATAAATCACTTTTTTGCATTAGGACTTACGACATTTTATTG